GTTATCGATTGTGAAGTACATGTGAATGGAATTAGATTACGAATCAAGAATTGAAATAAATAGCAATAGGCGAAATCGAAATCCAATACAATCCTCCATAATTTGACAAAACCCCAAATTTTTATTGCTTTCTTATATTAATTTAGTTTAAATCAAATCAAAATATTCATTTTGTTTTCATAATTCAAATTTCATGCGAAACTAGTAAACTTAAATTGAATTTATTTCCTGTGGGACGATAACTCTTAACTCATTTATTATTACTTGTCAACAATCTCGTACACTTGCGCGTATCACACGAACAATATTTAATAAATAATTGAGATTTAATGCCTTGTGCATTGTTGTGCTACTTTAAACTTTCTTGGTAGCTCTTTATTCTGATTTGTTTGCAATTCCTTTTGCCTTATTTGTGCTTGTATCCACCAGTTTTGCTGCGCCTGACATTATTTCTACAAGTGGTGTTTAAGTTGGCCAAGTTTGCTTCTTCACACTCACTTTTTTACTACAATACTGAGTGTTAATGTTAACCTTTTGTTGACACCTGGTCATCTTATATTCTTTTGTATCTAAATTTCTGAAGTAGTTTCTCTATTTCCAGAAATTTGTCGCCACTCAAGATCCAATACTGCGGCAGCTTTATGACGATGGCCTAAATGTTATCCTTGCTATTCTGAATATAAAGAAATTGTCAGAAATTATAAGTTCTTCACTTGTTATTGAAGCACTCCAACATGTGCTTCAGAGGTTTAGTGAGATCTTATTGTCAAGTGAGTATGCTGTTGATCTCTTGCATTCTAACTTTGGGTCTATACTTTGCTCCAAACTGAATTTTTAAGAGCTTTTGTTAGTATTCAAATGCCCTAGAGTTTAAACAGGTAATAATTTCCAGTAATTGCTATTGACAATCAACTTTAGATGATTTCAATCTAGTTAAGCTATAAAAACTATCAACTTATGCAATTAAAATTCCATGGAATTCAGCAATCATATATTCTAATTTATCAGTAGAATATGTGAGTTTTATGTTTCCTGCAATCTTGCTTACTCTGCATGTTGGATACGGTGCCACATCTTATATTGGATTACATTGGCTGCAAAGGAAGTCTGCTATAGCTGAATGTCATACATTACTTCATACCAGCTTAAAGAAGTCATAAATGTTGCGAAGTCCCAACATTTTTAATGACCCAGCATATAAACTGGGCTCATGCAATTTTTGGCTTGGAACATTAAATATTTACCGCATGCAAAAGGATCAAGTAAATTTGAGTTGGAACTACTATAATGGAAAGATTGCCTATCAAGGGACTCCTGACATGTATCATGGCTCTGTAAAAATACTTGAATATTAGTCATAAGATAATCCAATCACGAGAAAAGTACAAGGAATGTTATTGTAGAGAAAGACTGCAACAGACTGGTTCTAATTCACCAATACATGAACTCTGGATGCCGTCATTAAGAATTTACCAATCCTTTGCCATTTAAATGCGTGACATGGGGGAATGAAAACCATTTAAATGCATTACTTATTCCTTCAAATCCTATCATCATCACACATGTATTGAAGCTATCATCATCTGCTGCTCCTTGCAGGTTCTTTAAATTACACTTCTCTACCTTGTGATACTGCTCTATTGTGCCTGCAACAACTGATTATGAGTTTTAAAGATCTTGAAGAATATGCATCGAACATAGCAATGTCAATTTTCCCATTAATTCTAATTCTACCCAAGGTTCCATTATTTTGAACTACTTTATGTTATTTTCTCTTCAACTGGAAGTTGGGGATATTCTTATTCATCATACTTGCTTGACTTTCTGTTTTATATGTTCTTTTGCATAATCAGACGTGGAGATTGAATCTGAAGGCACTGGAATTAGCTAAGGAGTTAAAATGGTCTCTTTATGGGAATCTTGTCAATCTTTCTGGTCGAGAGAAGGTAAGTTGATTTTCCATAGGCAAGCTTATATGTAATATCCCTTGCATTTGTATCCATAGCTTTGGAAATGTTGATTTCAAATTTTAATAATGAAATG